TTACTCCTCCCCAAGACACTTGGCTGCCATCTGCTAGAAAACTGTAGTGACAACTACACCAATGAGTGGTGACTTTGAGGTAAAGAATACCCTGGAGTTGTGCAAAACACAGCCCACTCCACCACAGGTGGCCACCGGTGCTGCCGGCAGTTTTGAGAGTCCAGTGGTCTCTGGGTAGTCGCAGATTGCCTGGAATTCATGCAGTAAATTTTGTGTGGCAGATACACAATGGGAATTCACAGTGTTTGACAGGAGCACGAGAACGTCAGCTTGAGGGACAGCCAGAATAAATGGGAACTTCATTATCTGTGGATTATGCACTTGGAATTTAGGTCCCAGGCAACTCTGATATTAGTAATTTGGCCAGTATGCTCATTAAGCTCTTAAGGAAAGTGGGCCTAGTTAATGAATTAATAGAAGATGACATTTTACACAAAGAGCAAAAGCGAGACCAGGAAACACTGAGTTACGCAACATCATAATTTCTCGAGCAAATGTGATCACTGCCTCTCCCCTGCCAAACTGGGCAGGTCTAAGGAGAGCCTGCTTTGAGAGACATAGTGAGACCATTAAGATACACAGGCATTTTATATTCCATGCATTTTAAAGGGTTCCCATTTATATTCTTAAAACCTCAAATGGTTACACAGAAGTCAGCATTTAAAAATCTCTGGATCCATTTGTTTTCCATGTGAACATCTACCCACTTTCCTCTTTAAGAAACACATCTTGGCTGGCTGGTTAGTTCAGTTAGAGCACAGTGTTGTAACATCAAGGTCAAGGGTTTGGATTCCTGTACTGGCCAGCTGCCAAAAAGAAAGAAAGAAAGAAACTCATCTCACTGGAAAGAAACTCAGTCCTTTTCTCCTCCCCTGCCCCCCAACTAATCCCCCAAAAGGTGGCTCTCCCAGCTTCTATTACTGGTCCAGAGAAGTTGGTGAATATATTGGTAAGGATGTGCATTAACTAGGTAAGAACTAGCATTAACTAGTTATGGATGATGAAAAATTCTGGAGATGGATAGTGGTGATAATTGCACAGTAGCATGTGTGCACGTAATGCCGCTGATCTGTACACTTAAAAATGGTTAAAATGGTAAGTTTTACGTTATGTATATTTTATCATCATAATAAATTTTTTAAAAAGAACTAGCATTACTGAGTGCAAACCCTTCCCAGGTACTGTGCTTGGCACTCGGGTATACATTGCAATTTACCCTCCCGATAAACCAGGAGATATGGCAGTGTTATTTACCCAGGACCATCACCGTTTTAAAGATGAGAAGACTGAGGCTCATAAAAGTTAAATAACTTGCCAGAGCCCAGACAGCTAGAAGTGATGACTCCAGGATTTGACCCCAAGTCACTGTGACTCTGCAGCTCTGTATGCAAGACAACAAAATATGCAAGACAACAAAATAAAGGAAGTATTTTAGTTTAAGCCTGAATTCTGAAACACACTCACACAAGCCCCACCCAGCTTTTAATTATCAAAGCTGAGAACAGACAGAAGTCCAACAGAATCCCTGAGTGACAGCTGATTGTCTCCAGAAAATTCCCAAACTGCCTCCCTCTCTTAACCATCAGGCAGCATGACTCTGCCTTTCTGTTGGAGTCATGTTTGCTTCTTCCTGTACATTTAATTAGCTGATTGTCTCCAGAAAATTCCCAAACTGCCTCCCTCTCTTAACTATCAGGCAGCATGACTCTGCCTTTCTGTTGGAGTCATGTTTGCTTCTTCCTGTACATTTAATCATTGAAATGATGGCCACCAGACTCTTTGTAGCTTTTAGTACATATTTGGGTGTGGCCAGAAAGAAAAATTAACACAGAGAGCTGGGAGCTTGAGGGAGAAAGTTGTCATTTGTCTCAGATTAGGATTATTTGGCAAATCAGCAAATATTAAAACTGGAAAAGAAAGAAGATAGTGTGTATTGCACCTTATGGTTTTTTGAAGGAGAACTATCTGGGTTCCAGTCCTGGCTCCTCTGCTACCTCTTATGTGACTTTAGACAAATAAAATAATAATAATAATAGTGTGTGAGTAAAACCAATTTTTTTTTCGTTGAGCTGTATGCATTTATTGATTGCCTACTGTGTGCCAAGCGCCATCCTACACTCTGAGGATACAGTGATGAACAAAATAGACACGAAGCTAGCAAGGAGGGGTGGAGTAAGGCACTTAGCCTGTGCCCAAACAGAGGACATGAGGCGCCAGTGGTGGCTGCTGCTGCTGCTAGCTACTTCACATCTACAGTTTGGCCCCTGGGGACCCACTGAAACCTCGTCACTGCTTTGCAGGGGAACAACTATCTGGTTGTGGTCACCAGATTTTGTCACTTGGGCTGCACTAGATTGTTCTACATGCTAGGCCACAACAATGGGTGGTTGAGATTCTTCTGCAAAGACGAGGGGTCCCCAGCTTTCTATGAGAGGTGCTCTGGTTTCCTATGCCCACCTGGACCTTACTGTGGTTGCCAGGTGTGTCTTGCTGACTGGGAAGCCCCTTACCTGAGTATTGGAAATGTGGTTCATTCATACACATGGAGAGGAGGATATGAGCAACTGCAGGGAGCACATATAGACTTTCACCCTTGGACCTCTGAGGAAATGCCTGCAGGCGGCCTACCAGGTCTTGCTGGGGAGCTGCCCAGCAGAGTGTTAGGGGGAAGGCTCTGAATTCAGACCCCTGGGCTCAAATCATGCACCTCTCCTTACCTCCTGTCAACCTAAAATAAGAGAGAGTGGCTCTCAAGATAAATGAATTTATTCAGGAATGAGCAGGGGATTATAATCTGGAATGCGCATGCAATCGTAGATTACAGGCACATCCGAGGAGGTTAGGGCAAGGAGAAGCTTTGAAAGGCAAAGGGAGTTTACCTAAGCTGTCCTGAAATGACGTTCATTAGCCATGGAGTCTCGATGCAGGACGTGGCAGCTACTCATCGGTAACACTGACTGTTGTTGGGGAGATGTCTTGATAGAAGCATCTTATCTGGAATTGCTTGTGCTGTCAGTGAATTCTGGTAATAGTTCTTATCACAGGCAAACGTGCAAAAGGACTTTCAGAGAGTCCTTGTAATTAATAGTTCTTATCTCAGACATACAAGGGCACTTCAAAAAATTCATGGAAAGATTCATGTTATCTTTTAATTCTATTTTTTCACAAAGTTTTTGAAGTACCCTTATACAAGCATGAGACCCCCTTCCCCATGATCTCCCAGCTCTGCTTTAGTCTGGGTCTGACATAAGTGACTCCATCTTGGTATCAGCAGCTTTCATACTCCAAGCTGTGTGACCTTGGTCAGGGGAACTGACCTTCCTGAGCTTCATTTTTCTCATCTTACAAAGAGGGAAATTATAGCACCTACTTCATGGAGTTGTTATGAGGCAAGGAGATGTGATAAACCATGTACGTGTAGGTATTGAACACACTTAATATAGCACAATGCGTCAGCTGTTGTTGTCAGTGCTTCATAATTATTGATTCATTTCATGCTTGCTGGCTTAGTCCGTTTTCTGTTGCTTATAACAGAATATCTGAAACTGGGTAATTTTTAAAGAAACACAGCACCTACTTCATGGAGTTGTTATGAGGCAAGGAGATGTGATAAACCATGTACGTGTATGTATTGAACACACTTAATATAGCACAATGCATCAGCTGTTGTTGTCAGTGCTTCATAATTATTGATTCATTTCATGCTTGCTGCCTTAGTCCGTTTTCTGTTGCTTATAACAGAATATCTGAAACTGGGTAATTTTTAAAGAAACAATTTATTTCTTACAGTTGTGGAGGCTGGGAAGTCCAAGGTCAAGGCACATCTGGTGAGGGCCTTCTTCTTGGTGGGGAGTCTCTACAGAGTCCATGGCACACATGGTATCACATAACAAGGGCTGGGCAAGAGCATTTCTATGTGCTCACTTGCTTTCCTTATAAAGCCACCAGTTTACTCCCTGATACCATGTTAAACCATTAACTCATTAATCTATGAATGGATTCATCCATTCATGAAGGTATAGTCCTCGTGATCTGATCACCTCTTAAAGGCCATATTGGGGATTAAGCTCCAACATGAGCCTTGGGGACATTTGAACCATAGCACTTGCAGAAGCCCAGAGAGCTAGGGACTATTACTACCCCATTTTGCAGCCCCGAGAGGCAGTACTTCCCGAAAGGCACACAGCTAGTAAGTTGGGGGGCTGGGATTTGAATCTGGCTCCAGAGCCATCCTGTTAGCCTGCGCTGTACTTTCTATCTCAAAAGTTCCACATGGGGCCCACATAAAATAAATGCTCTACAGACATAAGGAATCCCAGATGTACCTACCTGTGTTCTTGATGTGTGTTATATTATGCATTTCCAGTGAAAAACTGATTTCTACCACAGGAACTCTCACTCTTATTCTCTGGATATTACATTTCCTGGGCTGATGTTTTAAAGCAACTTTATTGAAGTATCATTTACAATGCACAAAATTTACCCATTTTAGGTGTATAATTCAATGATTTTTATTAAATTTACCTATCGGTACAACCACCACCATAGTCCAGTTTTAGAACATTCCCATCACCCCAACAAGATCCCTTATACCTGTTTACAGTTAATTCTCATTTCCTCTCCCTGTCCCAGGCAACCACCAATCTACTATCTGTCTCTATAAATTTGCCTTTTTTGGACATTTCATATAAATGGAATTATACAATATGTAGTCTTTTGTATCTGACTTATTTTACTGCATAACTTTTTTGAGGTCATCCATGTTGTAGCATGTATTAGTACTTACTACATTTTATGGCCAAATAATGTGCCATTGTATGGCTATACCACATTTTGTTTATCCATTTATCTGTTGAGGGACATTTGGGTGGTTTTCACTTTTTGGCTATTGTAAATAGTGCTGCTGTGAACATGTGCATGCAAGACCTGGGGCTGACTTTGAAACACAGAGGTGAGCCACATCAGTAACCCTCTTCTCTCTTTCCCTCTCCTCTTCTCAGAACCAGGCAGCGGGCAAGTGTTCGTGACTTCGGAGAACCAGCTGGTGTACTACCCCAGCATCACTTACGCCATCATCGGCAGCTCCGTCATCTTTGTGCTGGTGGTGGCCCTGCTGGCGCTGGTCTTGCACCACCAGCGAAAGCGCAACAACCTCATGACGCTGCCAGTGCACCGACTGCAGCACCCTGTGCTGCTCTCCCGCCTGGTGGTCCTGGACCACCCCCACCACTGCAACGTCACCTACAATGTCAACAACGGCATCCAGTACGTGGCCAGCCAGGCCGAGCAGAACGCCTCGGATGTAGGCTCCCCACCCTCCTACTCAGAGGCCCTGCTGGACCAAAGGTGTGTGCTGGATGGAAGAGACTGGGGGAGGGAGGTCATCTAATGGCAGAGGGGAATATGTGCACACACCTGGGTCACTAGGTCTTGTCAATAGCAACATATGACATTTACTGAGTCCTTGCAGAATGCTCCACGTGTATCATCTCATTAAGTCCTCTCAACGACCCACTGAGGGTCTATATTTGCTGACCCACTGAGAGTCTATATTTCTATAAATAATAAATATAGTTCTATATTTGCCTTGATTTTACAGTTGAGGAGACTAAGGCTCTGGGTGTTAAGTTACTTATCTGAGGACATATAGTTAGGATGCTCCTCCTTGGTAATGCCACACTGGCACACATTCAGGCCACTGAGTAGCTACCGCAGAACCGTGCCCCGGACACATGAGAGGTTTGATTAATATTTGTTGAGTGAACAGATGCATGAATGAGTGAATGGATAAGAAAAGATATGTCCCTCAACTTTGCTTGGCTTTATCTATGAAACAAAGAGGGTGGAATAGAGTATTCCTAAGCTTTTGTAAACAGTAGAACTCTCATTAATGGAATTGTACAAGAAATCCCAATATATACAGCCAAAAAGCAGAGTTCGGTAGCTGAAGTGGGTGGTGGACCTAAATGCTGCTAGGCATCCCTCTTCCCGCAAGCCCGGGACTTGCTGTGTATGGCACTAGGCATTTTGCAGACCATGTTCCTGGGATGACTGGGCTTCCCCTGGGACCCTCTCCTGGGGAAGCTCTTGTAATGTTTAATCTTTGTTTTCTCTCCTCATAGAAGGTAAACAGAGCTTCAGGGGTCAGGGGGAGGGGGTGGTGCTTAAGGTTCTTTTTGCAAACACGTCTAAGAATACAGGACCTCACTCACCTAATAAAGTTCTCAGTCCTAACCTCTTCATTTTCACCATCCAGTGTAGAGTATGGTTGAAATCGCCAAATCTGGAGGTAGAATGCCTAGGTTCAAATCCCAGCAGAGCTGCTTCCTAGCTATTTGTGATCCTGGGCAAGCCATTTAATGTTCCTGTCCGTCAGTTTCTTCACCAATACAATGGGCATGAAAGTGATGCCTACTTCATAGCATTCTTGCAAGCATTAAATAAGGTAATGCACGTCAGGCACAAGGCACAGTGCCTGATGACTCACAGTAAGCCTTCGAAGAGTAAATGAGAGCTAAAAAATAAAATGGGCTGAAGTTGGCTTTGGGTCCACATGGCCTGCCTTGTCCTGATTCTGATGTGTTCTCTCTCCATTGCACTGCTGCCCTAACCCGCTTTCTCCATTGCAGACCCGCGTGGTACGACCTTCCTCCACCGCCCTACTCTTCCGACACGGAGTCTCTGAACCAAGCCGACCTGCCCCCTTACCGCTCACGGTCGGGGAGTGCCGACAGCGCCAGCTCCCAGGCAGCCAGCAGCCTCCTGAGTGTGGAAGACGCTGGCCACAGCCCAAGGCAGACCAGGGACTCTGTGCCCAGCCAGGGCACTGAAGAAGTATAAAATCCGGTTATTCCAAAGTCCATATGGGTTAATCTGCTCTGACTTGCTACCATTCTAACAACGTGTGCTCATGGGGAGCTCCCGAAGCCCCTTTAACGGTATCTCAAGTTGCAGTTTCGGGTGTCAGCTGTCTCTCCATTTCTCTCCTCCCCCAGATTTCAGGGATGTTCTTGGGAGGGCAACCTGGCATATTTCTGGCCTGTCAGTTGACATGAACTGTTGTGCATCTTTCCTGCGAGGTCACTCTTCCTCTGGGGCCCGGGCTCACAACCTCACGCTCCACATCATTCCTGTGTTAGTGTTGGAATCCCTTTGAGTAGGAGTCATAAATTTTCAGGCAGCAGAATAAAACAGTGTTTGAGTAGTCTGTGAGGAAGCAGTGTTTCTGTGCCTTGTTGGCTCTTCAGAAGGGCAGAAGACCCTGGACTAAGTTCTCTCTGCTGGCTGCTATCTTATAGCTCCATCTGGGGTTTAGGTTGGATGATCCTACCAGGAGGCCATCCCTGGGTGGCCACCCTGAAAAGAATCCAGATGGTCATCAAAACCTGCCTTGCACTATTCTATTCATTGCTCAGTTCAGAGGGGCAGTAGCCGAAGAAGGCTTTGAACATGAGCAACACGCTTCAGCAGTCAGCAGTGTCATTGTGGTTTTGTGAAGGACTCTGAAACCATCTACCCTGGATAGATTCTGGCTTTAATATTTTGCCCCAGAATCCTCATTTTGAGAGCTTTCTCAGCAGTGTATATCATCAGTCTCATCCCAGAATAGGCTGGGAGCCCCTGCCGTAAGTTTACCAAGTTCTCAGTTCCTAAAATGCGGGCTGCCAAGAGCCTAGGTCAGCCTCGGCTCCACTGCCTCGTCCCTGGTTTCTGGTCGTCACCCTCCTACCTGACCTACCTGTAGCCAAGGAATGAGGACCCAATTTGAGTTGGCCAAAAATCTGATCTGGCCATTTGTCCCTGTAAACCACACTCAGCCTGTCTTGCTTATGCATGCAGCGTCAACACTAGTCTCCTAAGTTCTCTGAGCACATGGAAGTCTATTTTACCTGTGCGTTTGGACTTGAGGACACTGGTTTCTAACACACGTGAGAGCCATATTCAATACCTCCTGTGAGAGCTCCTGGCTGCCTGCAGTGCACATGCTCCTGTCTCCAAGGTCCCAGTACCGGTTCCCCTAGATAGAGTTAGGGTTAGTTTCAGACCTCTCCTAACGTCCTAGTAGTTTGTCCTCTGAAATACAGGGGCAGTAGACAATTTGGAGTCAAGATTTTCCATTTGGATTTTTTTTTTAATCTTTTAGAAATGCATTTGAAACAGTGTGTTTGTTTTTTCCCTTCTAGTTAAGGGACTATTTATATGTGTATAGGAAAGCTGTCTCTTTTTTTTTTTTTTCCTTTTGTGAGGTCCAAAGAAAGATGCAAAAGGAGATCACGCCTTTGCCCCGCTGATCCCTGTGATAACAAGTCACTCCAGACTAACCTGTGTGCCAGGCATCTGTGCGTTGTTGCACTTTGAAATTATTTATCGAGTTCTTGAAGGATGCAGAAAGAGGGACTCAGCTCTCCCTCTGTTCCTAGTTTCTGTTTGTGTTAGTTTTCTTCTTTCTCTGTGCCCAGCCAGCCACAGGGCCCACGCCCCGAGGGAATAATGGGTAAAAACTTAGGCGTCATTTGGCAAAAAACCACACTGACTGAGGGACAAAACTGGAACCAGGTGGAGCCACTCGGGCAGCTGTCACCCATTCAAGGCTTCCTTCCACAGCCGAAGCACTTTTCAGTAACCTGTTTGATGCTAATTAAAACGAAGCCTGCAGGAAGTGGGGATGAAGTGGCATTCAATGATCCTGTTCTGTAGACTTTTATTTCTTTTTTTAACCAAATTCAAAGTGTGTTACAGGAAAGTCAGCCATTTGGTGTTTTGTTGTTTTTTAGGGGTTTTTTTTTGGTTTTTTTTTTTTAGCAAAGGAAAGGAATCCAAGTCACTTGTATCTTTCATTTTAAAAATAGCATATGAGTTATTTTCTGAGTAATCCAAGAAAGAAGGAACTTTTGATGGTAGCCAGAGTGTGTTAGGAACTCTGGCTGAACATTTCATCTCCTATTAGTCAGAAGGGCTTTATTTCTCCCTTTGATGGGCCCCTGCTTCGTTCTGGTGCTTTGGAAGTTGTTTAGAGGAAAGGATTCTAATTTTAATTAATTGTGCAGTGAGTTAATCTCAATGCACTTTTCTGCTTCCAGGCATCTTAGGAAAAACAAATGGTTTTAGTAGATAAGGGGAGCCTATTAATGTTTTTTAAAACAAACACAGGGACATTTTTATTATAGATTTGATTTTTTTAATGAATGTTTTTTAAAATATCTAAATAGGACACCAGAGCTGAGGGGTTTTTCCCCCCTACTCAAGATGGCAAATCCGTGGCCAGAAATATTTTTTAACTCATTCCAACCAGGATGTTTTTAATACATTGCCTAAATCTACTCTAACCAGAAAAACGATCTCTGCTCTCTTTTCTCAAATGAGATCAGTGTTTTATTTTAGCATTAAAATAGTTTCACTGTGATTGTTAGCTTATTGCCTGACTCTCCCTCTACCTTGAAATTGACATTTTAAAAAAATGCAACTAAGTGGTTAATAAATAGTGTGTGATGTTCCAAGTTCATGTAAACTGGAAAGGCTGTGTGCGGTTGTTTTTTGTTTTGGGGTTAGGCTTGTTTTTTTTGTTTTTTAATTTTTATACATTCAAATAAACTTGCAGTTTCATTCTTTCTATTGGTGTGAATGGTTCTTGACCCACTTTTCTCCCCTATAGCAATATAAAGAGTTGACAGTTATTTCTTTCATAATTTCTGCAATGAATGTATACCATAATAAAATGAGAAAAAAAAGAATATATTGGTTGGACCTCAAAATGTAATGGACGCTTAAGGATCACAGCTGGTACAATCAGAATACAGAGATGAGGTTGTGGATGCCAATCAGTGTTATGGGCCCTGGGACGTGAGTTTGGAAGATGGGTGGGTGCTAGTCCCTTTGCTACAGCATTGTTTGAGAGAAAAGGGCAAGAGGCTGTGACAATTGTAACAGATTCTGACCACATATTCGGGGGCACACTATAGCTCTTGCACAGGTATCCTGGTAATTAGTTTTAAACCACAGATGGCTCAAATTGGCCTCACCGATTGGAATGTACTTATGCTCTTTTAAGTCTAGTTTTGGAGCTGCATGTTGACTAATGCAGCGGGGACAGTTGCATGGGAGTCAGGATGCCCAGTAGACCACCACCACAACCCATGAACAGGAGAGGTAACTCCAGCCTTGGCCAGAATTGAAACCCACATGGAAATCCAAGTGCAGGACCCGTAGAACCAAGATGCAGATCCTGTGTTGGTCCCCAGCTCTCAAAAAGAAAACTAGACTACCAGACAGGGGTATCCCTAGTATATACTATGTCATTTCCTGCCCCAAGTGGTCTAGAGTAGATCTTCCCAAGCATTATGCCCCAATGGTTTGTAAAGTACTCATTCCTTCATCCCTCAGGGTATGTTATGAATACCATTTTTTATAGATACCAGGTGAGGAAACAATTGTAAAATGCCAATCTAGAGCAGGGGTTGGCAAATTTTCTATAAAGAGAAAGGTAGTAAATATTTTTGGCTTTGTGGTCATATGGTCTCTGTACCAACTACAAAAACAGCCATAGACACATAAGTATGATGCATAAATAGATGGGTGTGGCTGTATTCCAATAAAACTATTTACAAAAATAGATGGCTGGTGGATTTAGCCCATGGGCTATAGTTTGTCAACCCATGATCTGAAGGATCATTCCCACATTAGGTTCATGGATCTAAAGCTAAGAGCACTGTAGAAAAACAGTCATGTTATGATTTGGGCTATAAGAACCCATGAAATGGCACCAACCCATAAAAATTAGAAGAACTCATGAAGCAGGCAATTCAAGGCCCTTTGAAATGAGTTGGAATTGACTTTATTAGATCTTTTCCATTGAATAAGAAAATACAATATTAAGGTGAATAGGGCTTTATTAAAGAGATCCTAAACAGTTGGGCTGAATGTAGAGATCCTAGTCAGAAAACTGCTCTCACTGGGAGAGGATAAACTCAGACAATAGTCTGCCTTTTAGAGAAAGTCCATGGGGATGAGTGACCTGTGAGGTATTGTCCATCTTCATTTAGCTTGCAACCCACGGCCAAGGCAGTACATTCAGAAAGTAAACTGAATGAGAAAGAGAGAGATTCAGATGGCTGCAGAGGAGGTGTAATGAGTGTGTGTAAGGAAAGGATAAGTACCAAATGGGAACCTCAGCAGAAAGGTCAATGAAAAAATACATTGACTCCCTTGACATCCTCTTGTTAAATAAATTTATGGGACATTAATTAGAATTCCCAGTTATAAGTGATAGAAATCCAACTCTTGTAAGATTAATTACATTAAAATTTATAAGATGTATTGTCTAATACAACCAAGTCCAAGGGTATACGGAACTGTTGGTTTCAAGCAGGGCTGGGTTCAGTTCCTCAACAGCTGTCATTAGGAATGTTTTTCCCTTTCTTGTTTCTCATCCATGCTTTGCTCAGTGTTGGCTTCATCAAAGAGAGAGCCTCAGAAGATCCAGGTTCATGATCCCAGAAGAGACACTCTCCTAGAATCTATAGAAATTCCTTTAAATGGACTTGGGATTGTTCATCCTTGGTCATGTGACCACTACTATAGGTGGGACTCAGTCCCTTGATTGACAGCCCCACCCAGATTACATGGAGAGAGAAAGGGGCAATTCCCATATGGAAGTGTCTGGTAGCAGACAAAATACCAATATATATCTACTGTAGCACCTCACCAAGGAATGGAACCCATAACTGGCTGGCATAATTACTAATACACATAAGAAAATATCATACAAGCTTCAAGCAACATAGCCCATAGCATTAAATGGTCTGAAAGGAGCAGAGGCGGTGTTACAGTGAAAATGTCAAGTGACTCCACAGCCTTTCTCTAAACCTAGGAGGCAAAGTCAGTTTCAAACTATGGGCATATTGGGCTTGGGTCGTGTGGTTTTGTGAGATGGTCATCTGGGGTAGGTCACACAAACATGAATAAAGCCATATAGGAGTTCTACCCTAAAGATACCTGAAATACATCATGGGCTGCAGAACTGTCCCCAAACCCCTAAAAGTACTGACATGGGGCAATTATCCCACCATGATAATCCCAACCTGTACAATATTTTTAAGCTGATAGATCAGACATACATTCTCATTTATCACCTTTGTCAAGCTACCCTAAGACCTAGACTGAAGTATGCATGTTGTTAACTAGGCTTTCCATAGTTAACCCTTCTATCTACACCTAAGAGCTAGGATGTATCAATATCTACAGAGTCACCCCTTGGAAGTCTGGGACAGCTGGTGTCACAGGAGCTGAGGGGCTGAATTTTCATCATATCCAGAGCTTGAAGGCATGACCGTGGGGGCCTGGGATGTAATATCAGGGGGAGCATGTTTATTTAAAGATGACCGATGCCTCAGTTGGGCTGAGTTTGTAGTCTGAGCAAGGATAATTCACTCTAAAGTTCCAATCCCAGATTGTATTTGACTTTACATTTAAGTTCACCCTGGTGTGTCGTCCCAGTGAGCCAGCAGAGGAAAAGGCACAGGAAGGAGCACATGTGGCCATGCAGTGTTTATGGGCCAGCCATGTAAGCAGCACAAATCTCTTCACTCACGTTCCATTGGCAGAGCCTGGTCAGTCCCAGAGCCACCCCTGCCTGCAAGAGAGGCTGAAAAGGTAGATTAGCTGTGTGTCCAGAAGAACCAGAAGTGGATGCTGCTAGGTCCAAATGCGACTCCTCTGAAAAGACAATTTTTCAACCCCACACAGCTCTCATCATCCCTTATCTAGATTGCCTCTCTTCAGCCTCTTCTCAAAATCTTTGAATAACTTTCAACTCACTCAGGATAAAAGTCAAAATTGTGTTCTGCCGGACCTTCCACCACCTGACTCCCCTATTACCTAGCTAAGCTACTTCTACTACTCTCCCTTCTTCCTTACTCTGCTCCAGCTGTCTTGGCCACCATGCTAGCTCTTGGGCACACTCCCAGCTCAGGACCTTTTCCTTTGCTGTTCCTTGTGCTGGAACACCTTTCTCCAGATACCTAGAATGTTCCTCCCCATCAGAGATCCATCAGGAGCCACATCTACTTGGAATCTTGACTTTGATGTCTTTGGGACCTCGTCTGTGGCCACACTGAGACTCCTAGAGGAGAGAAGTATCAGAGTTCTCTCTTGACCAAGATATAATTACCACTCAAATGATTTTGAATGATTCCCAAACCAAAGCAGTACATGGGAACTTGAGAAGGTGCATTGAGAAGTGTGTTCAAAAAAGATGGTATAGAAATCTTATTTGGACCAATGCTAATGTGATTCATGGGTCAGGAGGTGAGTCCACTTAAGAAATACCTTGAAATTAGAAATAATACACTGGAATGCACCGAATGAAACCTAGGAATTGAGGTTGTACCTGAACACGTGCCCACCTGGGGGTCTGCTCTTTTGGCGGCCCTGCACGAAGTGTGACTCTTGCAAGAGAACTTGAGCTGGACCTTCATCTTGGAAGTGTGTTCCTGGTGTACCACTCTGAATCGACCAAGGGCATGTGGACATGCCTGGCAATTTCTTAGGAATAGGACCACAGATTCTGGTTGGAGATGGTGGCATTCCCAGTTTAGGGATGAGGAACTGACACCTTGCTTGAACAGGGAAAGAGTTACAGAACTTATAAAAAGAGAAGATGGGGTTGGCCTCTTTATATGTAAAAAAATAAGTTGCTTGAATAACTCATCGGTTAGAATCAATTGCCAGGAAATGACTGACTGTGAATGTCTTGACACCACTTGCTGGCTTGGCTGAGATCTAAGTGGCTCTTGTATGAAGATGATGTTTGTGCTTGCTAGGTGTATCAGCAGGGATCAGCCAGAGCCACCACAAGTATTACAGGACTAAGGGATTTCATATGGAAATTAGGGGTTACACTGATAGGGGAAGATCTGGTGGTATGATGGTCTGGAAAGCTACAGCTGGAAGATCAGAGACGTGGTCTCCAAGGATACTAGCCTGGAGCCTGGGACAAGTGGAGAAACTGGAGCTGGCAAGGAGGCCTAAGAAAGAAGCCACTACAGTAAGTCTTCAAAATGGCACTGCAAAAAGTGAGCTCATGGAGAGGACTGAAAAGCCACGTGTCTGACCACCCCAGTACCTTGAAAATAATGACTTCTGCAGCACTTCTGCCTTCCAAACCTCACGTGGGCTCCTTTCACTGGGGCACACTCACCCCTGGAAACATAGGAAGAAGGTTGTCACAGGAAGTGTGGTCTAAGAGCAGAGACGACAGTCATCGCAGCCCACCTCGGGGACCATGATCTCGGGCCATGCAGTGGTTTCTGGAGCAGACACTTATTCCACCCTCCAGGTGAAGGATTCTTACCATGAAGCAAAAAGTGGGGTCAGGAAGTGTTGGACTCTAGTTTCTTTGCATTTAACGAGAAAGGGGAATTTCATTTTTAACCTTTAAGTTTTCTAGGTATATCCAATAGTTGGAGCTCTTAGTTTTCAAAACTGGGAAGATTCCATTCTATTATTTGGTATAATCTCTGGTAAGTTATTTGGGCAATTTGTGTGGGCTGAATTTGTGTTGGAAAACGGAAAGGCGTGGCTTTGGAGGTACTTTTATTAATGATCAGTTTTGGCTC